AATGCAATCCCAATCAAAATCCCCATGACATTTTTCACAGAATTGGAAAAAATATCCAAAGATTCATATAGAAGCACAAACAAACTCGGGTAGTCAAAGCAACCCTGAGCACTAAGAGCAATGATACTTGCTCAAAAATAGTCACATAGATCAATGGAACATCATTGAAGATCCAAACCCAAGTAAATGCAATTTCAGCCACCTGATATTTGACACAGGTGCCAAGAACACACAATGGAGAAAAGACAGCATCTTCAACAAATGGTGCTGGCAAAACTGGATCTCCACCTGTAGAAGAATGAAATTAGATTCTTATCTTTCACCTTGCACAAAAGTAAATTCCAAATGGATCAAAGACCTCAATGTGAAACTGGAAACCCTGAAACTATTAGAAGAAAATACTGGCAGTAACTTACAAGATATAGGTGTAGGAAAGGATTTTCTAAATGGGACCAAAGTTGCTCAGTAATTAAGGTCAGCAATCAACAAGTGGGACCTCATCAAACTAAAATGTTTCTGTGCAGCAAAAGAAACAATCAAAAAAGTGAGGAGAAAACCTACAGACTTGGAAAAAAATCTTCAGCAGTGACATATCTGACAGAGGTTTAACATTCAGAATATATAAAGAAATAAAAAAACAAAGAATCGAGAAACCAAATGACCCAATGAAAAGATGGGCTAAAGATCTAAACAGAGAATTCTCAAAGGAAGAAATAAAGATGGCTAAGAAACCTTCAAAAAGTATTCAACATCATTAGTAATTAGGGAAATGCAAATTAAAACCACCTTAACATATTACCTTACCCCAATCAGACTGGCTAGGATCAAGACAACAAATGATACCAAATGCTGGTAAGGATGTGGAGAAAGGGGAATGCTCATTCACTGCTGGTGGGATCGCAAAATCATGCAACCTTTATGGAGTATAGTTCTCTTATGGAGAACTCTTAAAAATGTAAAAAATGAACCTACCATATGACCCGGTTATACCATTCTTTGGCATATACCCGAAGGACTCATCCTATTGTAGAGACACTTGTACAACCATGTCTGTTGCTGCTCTTTCCACAATAGCTAAGAGATGGAAGAAACCTATGTGCCCCTCAACTGACAAGTGGTTAACAAAAATGTGGTATATTTACATAATGGAGTTCTATTTAGCAGTAAAGAAAGATGAAATAATGAAATTTGAAGGTGAATGGATGGATCTAGAAACTGTTATACTAAGTAACAGACTCGGAAAAACAAATGACGTATGTTCTCCCACATATGTGGATCCTAGCGCCAAATCATTTTAAATTCCAGGTCCTTTTAATAAGATGACGCTGTTCAGCAGTCCCTTCTACATGAAATAACTACCATCATCATGACTTCAGCTGAGTCTGCTCTCTAAACTTTGTCACAATTGGGGTTGTTAACAGTTGTGCTCATTCATTAAAAGAGAGCCAAGCAGGGTCATTGGGCCCTCACTGGAGTATCCAGCCACTCTTTCCAGCCAACTATATATAATTGGGCCCTAATCACCCATGGCCTCATGGATTTGGGGAAGGTTAAAGTATACAGTCTGGGAAAGGCTAGGAAAAGAAGGCATGACCCACGCTGGGTTGTTGGGGACCCCTGCTGTTTAGAGTAGCAGTCTCCCCACGTCCGGATAGCCACAAGCCGGCTCAGCGCAAATGGGGAGACTCCCCTTCTCAGCAGGGTACCTTCTGCTCTCCTCCCTGACTTACTTTTGAAATGCCCGTCACAGATACATGCCCTCCAGCACAGAAACCACCAGGTTTTAATCAGGCATTGTCTGATAGCCTGATAGAAGCCCACCGCCCTATGTAAATGAAGCATTCCAGGAGCACCTATCAGCTAAGGCTTTTTCTACTGTCTCCACACTATAAATAATCCTAGTCTTACCCCAATAAAGCTGGAGCTGAATCACTGAGATCTGAGCTGAGTCACTTGTCTGAAGCTGTAACACTAAATCCTGTGATCCAGTCTCCCCACGGGGGGGTGCTATCCTTCTGTCATCGACTCACGAAGACCCTGCTTTCACTGTCCCATACCTCCCCTCGTGACCTGGCAGCTGACGGGTCTCGAACACAGAGGGAGTGCTCGGTAGATTGGGACGGAACCCGACTGGGTAGCTGACAGCAGTCCTTGAGAGCCACCAGGCCCGGTAGCGGAGAGTCTCAGCAGACGTGGAGTGCGACCCGCCCCACGTCCCCCCAGCGGCGCGAGGGAGACCGGTGCCACACCCAGCAGCTGGCGCTCTGCAAAACCCGCACGCCCATACTGGGTAAAGTCTTTCCAGTGTGCATACCCTCAGGTCATACATACACCTCAGCAACCCCTCAGTTATCTCAATAAGTAAGCACAATAAGTTCACTGGTTCCCCAGTAAAACTTTAATCAAACATTGGTTTGACACTAGAACCTTAAAAAGGAATAAGCATTGCTTAGCATCCCCAGGAAAAGAAGTCTCACAACACTAAGATAATTTACTTTTTTTAATGCTATTATGTCTCAAAATTATTTTAAAAAAAGAAAAGTGAGAATGTAAAAGATGTTAAAAGTATATGGAAATGGAGATATTTTCTAAAATAGAAAAAAATTGAGAAAGCCTAAGCAAGTGGTGAAGGTCTGTGTAGGTTTGTTATGGTATATAAAGGATGAAACAAAAATAATATACACAAATTCTTAAAATTTTTATGGTCATGGTAGAGTCAACTAGTTTAAGGAACAAAGTATATATCTAATCAAGGTTTATCTGAGAATATTTGGTTTTTCTCTCAAGCATTATCTACAAAGCACATGATAATTAAAAGTACCAGACTGGTAGAACTAACCTTACTGAATGTTTAACAGCCATACTTTGAGGCCTATACTAATCTGGTCAGAGGGACTTAAAGGACAGTTTTTGTCCCTTACCCTCCAAGGTTGACTAAGTTCCAGGGGACTATGGAACATCTCTGAAAATGTACTGTAACTGTGGTGAGTCACCTGTTGTCTTGTTCAGGGAGGACATGGAGATCCCACAAGATGAACTTGAACCAGTGTCCAGTCTACAAAGAGGAGAGTCGTCAGAGAAAACATCTCATTCATGCTTCCAAGTGAAGCCAGACACGGTCGAGCAGGCCTTTGGCTTACCTTCACATAGATGGAACTGGTAAAAGAAAGGAGCCAGGAGCTCCTCCCAAATCCATGTGACCCTGAGGAACAGATCCTCAAATGACCTTAAGTGTAAAAAGAATTGGATTTATTTGGGCCAACTATATGGTCTTAAATACTCAAAAGGAAAGTATAACCAAACAGTAAAGTCATCAGTATATTTACTTAAGAGTTCCTAACCAGAAAGTGCTGTTCAGATGTAAGACTTCAAATCTTGTCCTCCAATACTGTAGTGTTCACCTGTAACTAAGGGAGACAAGCAGCTTCTGTTCTAAAATGATGGATAAATTTGTTTTCTCCCCCTATCTAGAAGCCTTTGAGAGGGAAGTGACACTGATTCTAGCCACTCCAACAGCTATCAAAATACCTGAAAGCAAATCCTGAATTCATCACTCTAGAGTCTAGCCTTGGAAGACAAAAGAAAAATGAGGAGGAACCTAAAAGAGGGATGCTTTTGGAAGCCCTTGTCAAGAAATTTCAATGGACTGTCATGTGAATATTTGAAAATTGCCATGTTCTGACTTTTTTCTAGTTCCCTGTCTAGAACTTGAGCCCCAAAGTAAGCTTCTTGGCTAAAAGTCAAAATGGCCTTGGGCCTCTTAGCAACATACTCTGTTCCAAAGGCCAAAAATTTCAAAAGTATTTGGGAACTTGTATCTAATCCTTAAATGATTTTAGGGATACCTCTTCAGAGGGCGGAATGTTAGAGTATCCAAAAACCCTGTAAAAATAAATAGATAAGCCAAAGAAGAAGAAAGAGTACATGAATTTATCAGAAAAAAAGTGATGGGGAGATATGGGAGGAGTTGGAGGAGAGGGAGTGGGCATGGATTTGATCAAAACACCTTAGAAGCATGTGTGAAATTCTCAATAAATTATTTATTTATTAAAAGTATGTATTTGATATATGTTTGATTTATTTGTAAAAACTATTAAGGAATAACATTCTCTTTTCTAGTTTATTAGCTGTTCTCTAATAGCAGGTGTTTGTCCCTCATCACATTTTTGGGAGCTTCCTCAGGTTGTGCTAAATGGGTCCTGGTGTCCTCTTAACTGTATTCTGTACCTGTGTCCCTTACTTGAGTCCAAGAGCACTAAGTCCTTGCTTCTTTTCTCAAGCTGGCTCAACAGCACTTCCATGATCAGATACTCAATTTTTTTCTGTCTTTTGGAGACCTGGTCTCCCTGTAGGGCCAGATGGCATGGCACTCACAATGTAGACCAGGTTGTCCTCAGTCTCACAGAGATCCACTTGCCCCTGGCTCTGGAGAGATGGATTAAAGGCATGCACGACCATGCCCAGCTCAGATCATTAATTTTAACCTTGGGTGTGCTTGAGTAGAGTTCATATCACAGCTTACAAATTAAAGAAAAAGCCACAGACTGGAAGCCCCTGAGTTATTAGCCATCAAATATTTATCTAAATTTTCACACAGTATTTTGTAAATATTTGAGTTTACTTTTTCATGTCTACAAGTCACAAAAAAAAATCCAGATTTCTAGATTTCTTGAAAAAGAGAGATTACAGTAAAACTAGGATTTGACTTTCTATTTGTCAATAAATTGCTGCAGTGGCTGTTTGGACAGAATGGGTACTTTTTAGCTCAGTGAAAATCCCATAAAATACTAAACATACAAGCTTACACCTGGCCCTTATTTGTTTGTTCCTGACAGGTAATTGTATTTGCAGTTGTGTTTATGCAGAAACACTTGGGTTTACAAACCTGAAATATAATTTTAAAAAACTTAATTTCTTTTAGATAATTAATGTTAAAAAGAGTTTCATAGTTGCTTTTTACTTCTTTAAGATACTTCTTTCACACTCAATTCCTGAGTAGACTAGGACTGAAGTCCTAGAAAGTTGAGTACCCGAGTTCCAGGAGAGGTAGGAGTAAGGAAGAATCCCAGGAGATCTTGATAAGAGCTGTGAGGAGAGAGGCCGTTAAAGGAGCAGGAGCAGAGAATGAAAAAGAAAGGCTGAGGAAAGGAGCACACAGAAAGGGAGACTTACCAGTCCCTTCGGATCCAGAAGGTTAAGCCCAGAATGAACACAAAATGGGACAGCAGACATGCCGGCATTGCCAAAATGATCAAGCCTATGGATAAATGTCTGCTACCTGCATTGCAAGAACACAAGATATCCTTAAGCACAGGTCATGTCTCCATTTCAAGTTTCTTATTCTAAGTACATGTGAAAAGGCTAGGTGCTTATTTCTTTCTTCATTTAAAGCATCTGCTTCTACTTCTCATGGATTTAGCCTGCCCATCTTTTCTCAGGATCTTTGCAACCCTAATTCAGTTCACTGTAGCATACTAGCCAGACAGATGTGAGTCTGCCTCTTGCCTTCTTTCTGTGTGACTTTGAGCAGTTAATCTGTCTTAGATCAATTTCCTCATCTACAAATAAAGACAAAAATACTTGATTCAAAGCAAGTGCTGATATGAAATGAAGCACTGGTAGAATAGCCAGTGCTCACATAGGAGGCAATCAATATACCATAGCTGTGCTCTCAGTCCTGGCCCCTTTGTAGTAGGGAATGAATCTTCCTCAGATTCTTTATTTGCCACCTGCCTCTGAATCTTCTGAGTTTATGAATCTCCTTTCTTCTTATAGATAAAACATCTAATCTCAAATCTTTTTTAATTTTGGGTATCAATATCCCTTCTTCCTGTATCTAGAATTCCCTTTTTCTAGACCTCCTATAATGGTTAGGTATTTCATCTCTGAGTATGTTCAACTCTCTCTATGTGTTTAAGGACTACCTCCACTTAATCTCAACTTGGCTCTAGTTCTTTCTCACCCCAGTAGAGAGTGATGTCCTGCTCCCCTAGACTCCTGTGCTTCATCCAGCAGGCCAGCTGCCTATCTAGCCTTCACATCCAGGGCTTCTTGAAGATACCATGTTCCATCGGCATTGGGCAGGATATCACGTCTCTGAGTATCCTGCTGCTCCTACTCACCCTGCATCCACATCACTCACACAGGCTTTGGGTAGAAGCCAGAGACATGACACACCAGCTTCAGATGGCCAAGTCCAGGGCTGGGGCCACTTGACAGCCAAGCCTCAGGTTTCTCTGTAATCAAAGAATAAAGGAATCTTAAGGTGAGGACTTTATATTGAAGGCTCCCGGCCTCCTATCAAGCTCACCATGCTTCCCAGAGGCCCACTTCCAGAGATGAAATCACCTGTTATTTAATCTATTTGTCCAGGAGAACCATTTCTGATACTTCCTAATCCTTCCATAATTCCAGGACCCCATAAACCTCCTTCCCCTGTACTCTAGGCCACCCTGAGCTCAGCTGTAGAATAAAGCATGTCTCAAATATTCCCTGATTTGATTTTTATCCTCAGTGTTTGTTTAACTCAGTTTATAGAATCCAACAGTGATTGTCAGCAAAACTAATAAATAGCCACAAGCTTTATTCATCTCCTTCTAGACCTTGCCTTTTCTCTGATGCTTACAGCAAACAGAACCCTTCACTGGGAAAACAGGTGGAATCCATGTGTAGAGCCATGGTGAGGAGAGCAAGCTGACGTTGCTTCTCCAGTTTTGTCTTCCCTGCCTCTAGAAAGCCACAGACAAGGTGGGGACAGGTGTCATCCAGGAGCAATTGCACAATTTCCCTGGTCCCTTTATCATCACTGAGCACTTTGATGGCCAACTTTTTACAAAATGGGGCCTCTGGGGCTTTCTTTCAGGAAGTTCCCCCAGAAACTCAGGATATATTCTCCTTGAAATTCTACATGGAGAAAGTTTTCTGAGGCATTTCCAGGGTACAGTTCACATCCAGCAGACAACTGGAGCTGAATGGGATCTGTAGAGAGAAATCAGTAGAGATCAAAGAATGGTTTTAAAGGTTGGCAAAATGACAAAGGTCCTGGTTGAGGGGAATGAAAGTGGGTGTCTTAGAGCAGAAATAAGGGTTGTTTTCAGAAGTAAGAGACAAGGATATCTCCAGGCAGAAGTGGAAATCTGAAGAGTGATAAAAAGAAAACAGAACAAAACAAACAAACAAAACGGAGACTCTCATTAGAGTCTGTTTCCCATTTGGGGTTCTGAGTCCATTCTTTCCCATTGGGTGCCTGCTCAGGATTCTATCCCTCCACAGACAGCCAAAGTTAGGTAGCATTTTGGCGAATTCCTATATGTCCCTGGTGAAGCTGCTTCGATAAACACGAAATAAATGCTGCAGCTTCTCCCACTGCTGGTAACTAAATCGGCCCTGGGACCATGGCTTTACAGAAATGATGGCTCTGAAGCATTGCTCCAGCCAGGCTGAGCTGTCTGTGCGAGTGCAGCTGCTGTTGGCCAAGGAGGAGATCTGCAGGCAGCAGAAGCGGAAATTATTTTGCCAGACTAGAAAACAGTGAAAGCTGAATGAGCGTAGAGAGTGATCAAATGTGCAGACAGCATGAGGAAAAAGAACAACCATAGATGCGACTGATAAGGAAGGGTACAGCGCGGGAGTTCTGAACTGTGCTGGGGCTCTGACCAGCCGCAGCTCATTCTTCCTCTGATCTGTGAACTTTGGGCTCACATTCACATGGCTCTCCCAATCCTCCTCCATCTCTCCACCCTTTTCAGCGCATATTGGTGTACCCTCCTTCCACTCACCATCAGATCTTCCGTGAACATTGGAAAGCACCCAAAGCAGTAAGTACCACATGCCGCTAGGCTTCAGAGTTCAGCAAACTGCAGCGGCCTTAGATCACTGCTATCCTCTCTCCACCCAGTCTGCAAACGCTGCACTCGGATTGGTAGTCAATTTGCTCTTCCGCAAAGTCGTCCCCCTTGAGGTTGGCTAGTCGAATCCAGCTAGTCTGTACATTGCACAATCAACATTTTTAAATCTGTAATTATCACTTTTAATTTATTTGATAATGCATGAATGTGCAGTACATTTATAGAGGTATCAGTGGTGTACAGTACAGTAGAAGTATTGCTCTCTATGCTTTCCCCACCTGCACGAGTCTCCTCAGGGGACAACTGGTTTACTTGAGCATTATTCAAATATTCAGAGCATATCAACTTTTCTCAATCTTCCTTCCATTTCACTGAAGAAAGAGGTTGGGATGGTTTGCCAAAAGCCTTATCACTATCATCTGTTAAAAGCAAGATATAAAGTTGTATCTGTGTTACAACTCCAAATGATAGTAACAATGTAAGAGAATAAAAGAGGAGGAGAATCTTAGCTTAGCAGTGGATATCTCCCAGAGCAAAATTACTTTGTGTTACACTTTTAAGTCCTCCAAAATCTCCACAAATGCAAGTTATCATGTTGATAATAATAAAAAAAATTAAGTGATTTTTGCAATGGTGCACTGAGAGGGTAGGACCAGGTTGGCAGAGATTCTTCATAGCGTTGGTATCCCAAGAGTCCACCATGTCAGGGTTCCCAAACTCTCTTTCCTCTTATCCTGGGGCTGGGGAACTCCTCACCTTGTCTCTTCTCTGTCTTCCCTGACTGCCGTTTTGAGAGAGTACAAGCATAGTATATGTTATTGTACTATTCTGTGATTTCTGGATACTGTATTTTGTGCAGATTGTATACTTGTGGCCAACCAGTGTGGAGAAAAACCTCAGTGTCAACATAACTATCATATGCTTTAGAAAACCAAAAACTTTCCCATGAGTCACCATATGGCTATATCCACTTTATGGTAAAGTTTGAAACCTAAACTACAGCATCGGGGGAGGGGGGGTGCCCAGCCAAGCACCTTCCTCCTGGTCCACCTCCTTCCTCCTTGAAGGTATACCACATCCAGGCATCTCCCCTCAAGAGATGTACTGCAGCCAGGAATCTTCCCCTCTTCCCTTCACCTCACCCCTATCCCCTTCAGCCAGCTTTGCTGCTTGCTAGGCCGATTCACTCACTCAGTCTCCAAAATAAGCATCTTATATTTGAGGACAGATAATATTGCAGTGTGTGCCTGCGATTTTGTATAGCCAGCTCCCTATTTCTCACACTGAACATAAGCAGTGACAAAAACAGTGATTCGGAACCTTCAGTCATGTTGAGAAAGGAGTCATCATTGGTCAGTCAGACCCTGTAACATCCTGACACTATCTCTTTCCCTTAATTCACTCTCTTGCCAGATTCACTCTTTTTTTTCTCCTTTTGTGTTGTCTCTTAAATGGGTCCCTACCTTTCCATCTTCACCACTACTCTTACCTTTTGCTTCATGTATGAAAATAATTTTCTTAGGAAGAAGAAAATCATCATTATGACCTACAAGATCATAGTGGCCTTGCCCTGATTTGCCTTTGAGCATCATTTGAACCCTACTCTGACTTGCCTCACTGATATGCTTTCAGTTCCTTATGCACAATTTCTTCGTGCCCAAGATCTTGGCACAAACTGTCCCCTTGGAGAATTCTTACCTCCAGACCCCCTGCCTAGTTATTTTGACTCAGAATTCTGGTACTAATGTCATTTTTCTCAGGGGAACCTTCACACGCTTCCCAGGCAGTGTGAGCAAAGGCAAGAGAACTAGCTAGCTCCACCATTGCTCCTTGAGCACCAGCTAGCTAGGTGAGCTTTCTTCCTAACACATAGACTTTGCAATTATAAAAATGGTCATTTGTCTGTCTCCCTCTGTATCCTTCCAACAGTCAACTGGAAGGATGCTACAACATAAGTCATAGCTCCTGACTCTGCTTTCTCCCATTCTGTCAATGTTAATACTTTATTTCTCCCATACCTCACTACGTAACAGTCCTATAGAACAGGCCCTGTGCCTCACTCTAGAGATGAATTCCCAAAATCAGCTAAACAAGATTTTTTGGCTATTATATTTTCATTCTTTTTCCTGGTTGCAGCATGCTAGTCTTTTTCTTTTGTTAGCATACATTTATTATAAGCATATATTAGCTGATTATATCTATCAACATTTATCTAATACACATAGTAGAGTTCAGCATGATACACACACACACACACACACAAAATGTACATTGATTCAGTCTAACTTCCCTTCATCTACCCACCAACAGACACAACATTCCGAGCCTTTATTAATCACTATGCTACATTAAGATTAACTGTTTTTCGTTTCCCAATGTGAGAGAAAACATGAAGTATTCATCTTTTCATGTCTGGTAATTTTGCTGAAACTGGGTGTCCTGCAGTTTCATCCATTTTGCAGCAAATGACAGAATTTCATTCTTGAAGACTGAATAATATTCTATTGCATGTATATGCATTTTATTATTTTATTACTACTATTTTATTTTATTATTATTACTATTTTGGGTGTATGAGTTTATTGCCTGCATGTATATAAGTGTACCAGTTTCACCAGTTTCAAATCTTACTTATGGTCTTTGGTCCTTTTTTATTTGATATTTGTACATGCTGAAAGATAGGGATCAAGTTTTGATAGTCTACTTCAAGTGTCCAGTTTCCTCAGCACCATTTATTAATGAGGCTATCTCTTCTCTGGTGTACGTTTTTCATATGTTTGATGAGAATCAATTGAGTTATATAAGGGTTTATTTCCGTGTTTTCCATTCTATTCCAGTGGTCTAAATTTCTGCTTTTATGCCAATATCACGTTCTTTTCGTTAGTGTGCTTCTATCATAAGGGCAGCATTAATTTCTTTTGGATGAAACTGGAATTTTCATCTTCCAACTCATAGTCCAACACATTATCTTTCTCACAGTTGCAGTCCTAGCTGTTACCTCCTACACTCATGAAGTGTTTACATGTGGTTAACATGGTTTCTTTTGATGTTAGTAGTCCTCAAGTTACCGAGGACAAAGACGATCTGCTCAGAATGGTGGCAACCTAGAGGTACTGTGCCCAGGAAAAATGACTGATTGAACTGTCTCATGAAAGCTACATATTTTCTATAAATTGTAAGATTGTCATAGTCCAGGTACAGAGAAATTAGGTTTGTTTTCCCCCTGATTTGGCCAAGCTATAAATAAGTCTATTTTTCTTCACCAAATTCTCCTTCCTACTTTCTGCTGAAATACAGGGAAAGTAAGGTAGTTGGTTATGGGCCTCAGTATCCAGTAACAATCAGAGCTAAAGAAGACTGTAATAATTTCTTGGATTCAAGAGTGAGGTAACACTAGAATCAAATAAGTACAAATGTTTGGATTAAAAATAGTTACAAATGTCATAAAGGCATATTGCTTTTCTCTTTTTTAATGTGCACTTTTATTGAGTTTTGTGCATTTCATACAATAAATCTTAATCATATTAAGAAACCACATCCCTTTCACAGCCTCACACAGTCCTTCACCCACACCAGATTTCATGCATTCCATCACATATGTTAAGGCCTATTCAGTCAAGCATTTCTACCCAGATGTCTTATGGTGCAAGTTCACCCACTGGAGTCTTGTCAGCCTATCTAAGTTACTCCCTTAAAGAAGACCAATTCTTGCTCACCAAGCAATAATCGGTTTCCAATAGTTCCTTTGCTACGGTTAAGGTCTGCTGTACATTTCCTTCATTCTATTCTGGGCTTTTGTCTAACTGAGTCAACATGGGTCTTAAGCATACTGTCACCATTGTTGCAATGTGAGCAAGTTCCTAGAGGCCTGAAAGCCTCTCTTTCCTTATGTTCATGAGCCAACCCTTACCGTAAGAATCTTTCCACTCCCTCTTCTGTAATGGCCCCTGAACCATGGGTGGTGAGATTTAATATAGAAGTCCTATCCAGGGACACACATTCTGCAGTCTCTTATTCTCTACACCCTCGCCAGTTGTGGCCTTCTGTGTTCATTACACTCAGTTGCATGAGGAAGCTTTGCTGATGAGAGTTGAGGGAGGCATTAGTATGCTCTCTACCCCTGTTCCACTATGTTCTCCAGTCTTAGGTGTAGAGGTTCCACTGCAAATGTGTCACTTAGGGCTGGGCATCTCTCAGATACATAGTCTCTCTGTGTGACCAATTGTGGAACTCTGTAATTGTCTCCATCTCTAGCAAAAAGAAGCTTGTTAGATAAGTAGTGTATGGTATACTTCTCTGAAAATATAAGGATTCATATTTAGCATACAATAAGACATTTCATTTGTATAGAGATATGACAGATTACTTTTTAAAGCAGCAGCAAGAATGAATGGTCTATCTGTCTGCTCACTGCTCATTCTCCAACTGACTTCAAAGTCAATTCTTTCTGAATTGTGTATTCTGATGGGTTTTTATGGTCATGTTTTTTGTTTGTTTGTTTGTTTGTTTGTTTGTTGTTGTTGTTGTTCTCATTTTGCTCCTAATATTACTTTTTTATTTTCCTTTTACTCCTAGCATAACTATTTAGTTATTTTATTTGATTTAAATTTCTGGAGTTAGCCTTTCTTATTATTCACTCAAATGTTTTCCTTTACATGCATTGATTATGTGAATCATGCACAGATGTCACTACCTGAATTATTTTGCTTACTTTTATCTAATCACCTACATTTTTTCCTAGTTAATACTCTGTTTCTCAGTTTCTACAATACTGATGAGGACATAGAAAGTAAAAAAGGGTTTGTTAAACAAAAATTTCATGGCATAGTTCATATTTCTGTTTTACACTTAAAATCTTGGTAAAGATCTTACAAAATTCTTCTTCATTTTATTAACTTCTTGTCTCAAGAATTTAGAATACTCTGTGAGACAATATAAGTACTTAATAAATGTATTTGAAAGGAAGTGTAGATAGTATCAATC